GGCAAACGCCTGTTCCGTCACGGCGGCCGCGGGAGGGTCCCGTGGAGAACGGGGGACTGGGACACGCGGGACTGGGACGAAGGGCCGGCGGCGGCGGGCGGCGGGCGGCGTTCAGATGGGGTGTCTTTTAAAGGCCCCGGGAGGGGGAACCCGGGGAGCCCCAGGGGCCCAAGCCGCGGGCAGGCCAGGCCAGCCTAGGCCAGCCCAGGCCGCTGACCAGCCAGACCCGGGCGCCGAGCGGCAGGTGTGACCGGTGAGGGCTTCCTACGGAGTCACACTGAGGCGAGGCGGCCAGCAAGGTCAGGGTGAAATCAAGTCTTTTTCTGTCTTCAGCCACGGAAGTCCTGAAGTATGGAAAGTACCTCACGGCTGAGCCTGGCTTAGGGTGGCGCTTTGATGTTAACATGAACGTCTTGCTTCCCTGGCTGTGAGCTTGTGCAGCCCCGCAGGTGACACCCGCCAGGGATTCCCGGGAGGCAGTGCCAGCTGGGACCCTGGCACCACTAACAGGATTAACAGGGCATAGCTCCTCCTGAAGCGTCAATTTAACTCTAAGACCCCAGGAGTCAGATGTATGTAAGTATATTTTTAAATTTTATTGATTTTAGTTAGAGGGAGGAAAAGAAACCTCGATTTGTTGTTCCACTTATCTATGCATCACTGGCTGATTCTTGTATGTGCCCTGACTGGGGATCGAACCACAACCTTGGCATATCAGGACACTCTAACCAACTGAACTACCCAGCCAGGGGCTGTAAATATTTTTAAAATATTAATACCAAGAGGTATTATTCCAAATGCGTGATTGGCATAAAATTTTAAGAGAAAAGATCTCAAGGACATGCCCTGTTCTCTCTTCTTACCATCATGCTGTGGGTGGGAATTCAAGAGGCTCTGCTCTGATGTCCCAAACTCCTGGCCTCACTCTCCTCGCTTAAGGGAGGAGTGCAGGGGCTCCCCTGCAGATGGAACCCCCCACACCTCCACTCTCCAGGGCACGCAGCAAATGACTCAGTCAATGTAATGCGCCTGAGCCCACCTGCTTTGGCTTGTGTAAAAGACCAGGTGGGAGTGTGGACGACTTATATCCCGGCCGCCTTTGACCTTTCAGCTTGTGCTCCTCACCAGATGGTCATTTTCAACCCTGCTTTTGTCATAGCAGTCCACTGGGAAGTTCTGTCAAACTAGCAGATCACTCAAGTACAGAGCAGGCAAAGTTGTCGATTGCACACAGGAAAATTAGTCTGTGAGGGACCGAACAACTTAAGAGGCCAGACTGATGTCCATATCCACTGCCCCCAAAACCAACCCTCCTTTACATGTGACACCCAGGAGAGGAAGTGTGGTCACAACGCTAGTTCAGCTTACCCCAAGGGAGAGCCCTGGGAGATGTGAGAGGGTGTAGTCCTCGGGGC